AAACTGGTTGATCCACTCTGAGAAGGTGCTATTTAAGAGACTGAGCTGAATACAGCACCTCAGACTGAGGAAGTATTTCGGATGAAAGATGAAACGTTTCTACAATTTATTTATTTTTTATAATTTTTTGAATGTCCAGAGGACCAGATTCAACTTTTTTTAAGAGATTGTTAACTTTTGTTTTCATCCAATTTGTAAGAGATTTTTTAGTTATTGTTTTGTCCATTTTTTTGAGTAATAAACTACATATATTTTTCAAACAATCAAGTTGGAAGTGCGTTCAAGAAACTAATCACCTGTTGCCACACACGGCCTTTCTCTGAATATTTTGGTTTGGAACATAGAAGGCCACGACATTTAAGTCAAAAAATCATTTGGACCCGCTTGGAAATCAGAAAAACTTGGAAGATGAGACGATTGGACTTGGATGATTGAACCTTCATGGAATGGACTTGGATAAGATGCACAAAGTTTGTGAGTAAATGCAACACTATGTTGGAATGAGCAGAGACACTGAGCTACAATGTGAAATGTTTGTAATGGACAATTATCTGTTGGATCTACTGAAACGAATTTTGTGTTGAAAATGGAGGAACAGGAAGAAATCCAAAAGGAACGAGAACTTTTTAATTTAATTAAAAGGCGCAGAGCCAAACTCAGCGTTCTGACAAGAAAAAGAAATGACATTCATGCCCTAATTGATGCTGGAGAATCACAAACCTCCATAGATGAGCACATGAAAACGTTTCATAATTATTTAGCAGAGTTTATGGACTTACAATCTTCAGTTCAAAGACTGCTCAACGATGATGAAAAGGAAACTGATCATGGCGATTGGTATGAACCTAAGCTGATCAGCTTTAAAGAATATTTGGATGAAATCGAAACTTGGATGAATGGTGACCCTGATGCACAGAAGGGCAAATTATATTCAGCATGTGAATGTAAATCAAAGGCATCTCATGACCGTGACGTTGGGCCGGATGATAGTGTCTCACAGACGGTACAACAAAAGATCAGCAAGCTTTCTGAAAGATTATCTGGGACTACAGCTAAACCACTCAGCAAGGTCGCTAGTAAAGCACCCAGTAATGTTAGTAAAGTTTCTAATGCGCGGAGTAAAAGCTCCCGTGCAGCTTCAATGGTGCTGATGGAAGCTGAGGTGGAAAGAGCCGCTCTGAAAGCAGAGGTGGACACGCTGCAAGAAAAACATGCACTTGAACTGGAAGAAGTTCAATTAAAAGCAAGGAAAGAAGCATTGGCTTTAAGAACTAAGTTGGTAAAGGCGGATGCAAAAATGTTAATTTACACTCTATCCAGGATCAGAAAAGTCATGATTCCAGCGCTGAAGTTGAAAACAAGGATGTTTCAGATTCTGCAACATCTACGGAGTGCATACCTGCTGCTACAGCTCAAAAGGCTCCAAGAAAATGGAAACCATTGTCAGCTCCTTCACCTGTGCCAATGCCCCAAGAGACACCTGTTAATGTAATATTAAAACCAGAAGGGGAAAACCCAGGACACATCTCTTCTCAGGGTTATGTCCATAGCAGTGCTTTAACAGAGATCATGAAAAAGCAGAACAAAATCACTGAGATGCTGGTAAAACAGCAGATACTTTCACTCCTTCCATCTGTAGAAATTCCTGTTTTTAGTGGTGACCCTTTGCATTTTAGATCCTTTCTTAAGGCATTTGAACAAGGAATAGAAACGAAGACAGATAACATGCAGGACAGGCTTTATTATTTAGCTCTACAGTGACTGATCTGAATGACTATCGGCCAGTGGCCCTCACCCCGATAGTCGCTAAATGCTTTGAAAAACTGGTCATGACTCACATCAAAACAACCATCAACATCAACGAGGACCCTCATCAGTACGCATACCATGAGAACCGATCAACAGAGGATGCCATCTCCTCTGTGGTCCACACTGCGCTCAACCACCTGGAGCAGAAAAACTCTTACGTCCGTATGCTCTTTGTGGACTTCACATCCGCCTTCAACACCATGATCCCCCAAACCCTGATGGACAAACTATCCACACTAGGACTAAGCTCCTCCATTTGCAACTGGGTACTAGACTTTTTAACAAACAGACCACAGTTAGTGAGGATCCACAACCTCTCCTCCTCCACCATAACCCTCAGCACTGGCTCTCCTCAGGGATGTGTGTTGAGCCCCCTCCTGTTTACTCTGCTCACGTATGATTGTGCAGCTACCCATCCAGGCTGTCACATTGTAAAGATTGCAGATGATACAGCGGTGGTGGGGTGCATCACAAACAATGATGAGTCCAGCTACAGGCAAGAGGTGGAACACCTGGAGAGCTGGTGCAGAGAGAATAACCTTCACATCAATGTGAAGAAGACAAAGGAGATGATTGTGGACTTCAGAAGGAACAAAAACACCTACACCCCCCTGAACATAAGAGGATCTGCGGTGGAAGTGGTCTCCAGCTACAAGTACTTGGGTGTACACATGAATGACAACCTCAGCTGGAGCAACAACACCACCAGCCTGATCAAGAAAGCTCATCAGAGACTCTACTTCCTCAGACAGCTGAGGCGAGCTGGTCTAGGAAGCTCAGTCCTCACCTCCTTCTACAGGTGTGCAGTGGAGAGCATCCTGTGCTCCAGCATCAACGTGTGGCATGGAGGCTGCACAGCTGCAGAAAGAAAAGCTTTGTAGAGAGTGGTGAAGGCTGCACAGAAATCTGTTGGAATCAGCCTCCCCACCATCACAGACATCTACACCTCCAGATGCAGGAAGAGGGCCACCTGCATCATGAAGGACCCCACTCACCCAGCACACACACTTTTTGCCCCACTCCCCTCAGAAAGGAGGTTAAGGAGCATTAAGTGTAGAACCACTAGACTGAGGAACAGCTTCTACCCTGAGGCTGTTAGACTCATGAATCTCTAACCAGAATAATCACTGTGAAAAACCATATCATGTTGCTGCTGATCTGTTTCATGTTGCTGCTGATCTGTTTCAATGTTGATGTGAGATAAAAAGGTGGTTCAAACTCAGTGCTTGTTTTGTAACGGAAAGCATTCTGCTCACACAGACTCATGTTCATGTTTGTGCTGATGTTCAATGTTCTATGTTATGAGTGTTTAGTGTATATTTAGTTGATGTTTTTCTTAGTTCATATGTTAGATGTTATTACTGTTTTTCCTATACATTTTATTGTTGGATGTAACTGGGACCCCGTGTACATAATTTCGCTCCACCACATGTACCACATGAGGTGCGAATGACAATAAAGAAACTCTGACTCTGACTGATTATTTAGAGCAGTTTACCACAGGACAGCCTAGAACCTTGGTTAGAAGTTGTATGCACATGAATCCACAAACTGCTTATATGGAAGCAAAAAGACAGCTTGAGTGGAAATTTGGTAACAGAGCAAAAACAACATCTGCATTTATAGAGAAGACTCTGAACTGGTCAGTTTTAAAGTCTGATGATGCTGCAGCTTTAAGAACTTATACATTCTTTTTAAGAAGCTGCGTCAACGCAATGGATGAAGGTTTATTGACAAGCTTGAAAACTCAACCAATATCAGGTTTCTTGTTTCAAAGTTGCCTTTTAGACTTCGTGATAAATGGCGAATAATTGTGGTTGACATAGCAGAGAACTACGATCGTAGAGCAAAGTTT